GGGCTTTTGGTCCATGCTCCACACGGCGGTCCGGGTGTGGAACTTACTTGTATATCGGTAAAAATTGGGCAAAGTTACTAAAACAACTATACCGCGACCGCTAGGAGGATCACTACGACCACCACGACCACTACTCGCCACTACTACAACCACCACGACCACCATTATGACCACGAACACTACGACCACTACTACCGCCACAACCACTCCTACAAGCACTACTACTCGCACGACCATACTACTACAAGCACTTCTACTCACACGACCACTACTACGACCGCTACTATCGGCACGATCACTACTGCGACCACTTCGCCGAACACGGCCGCATCACGATCGCCACGACCACGACTACGGGGCTGCGCTACGCTACGGGCTCCTGCAGGCCGCGGGCTGATTAGATAAGGGGCGGCTGGGCTGCTGCTGCGACCCGCGTCCTAATCTCCATGCAAGGGTAGGAGGCGGGGGAAGCGTGAGGAATGCCGCTTTAACGGGAAGCTTTTTCTTTCGCTTTACGAGCGGCACTATGGCGGAGGAGTCGAGGAGGAGGAGGAGGAGGAGGAGGAGGAGGATGGGAACAGCGAGCGGAGAATTAGCTCGAGAGCTGCAGCCCGGGCCAGCGCTGTGCAAAACTGCAGGCAGCAGCCGAGCGGGCGAGGCACTCTGCACACAACTTAGCGAGATCCCTGCATGAAAAGCATTTGTGCCTCGGATTAAAAAAAAAGAGAGAGAAAGAATTCGTGCGCCCGTGCGCCCTTTGGAAAAATTGTTATTGTGAGGAGCTGTGTGCTTTATTCACCTCCCTCTGATGTATGTATTCGTTCACTTTATCTTTATGAAGGCTGGTGAACAAATTTAACAATAAAATATATATCTGTTTTTGATTATCAGCAAGTTTTCGGTCGCACGTTTTCTGCGAGTCTACTGGACTCAATTTCACGCGAAAGCTTACGAGACGACCGGCAACAGCAAGAAATCTAGAGAAAAAAAATCCTCACAGTGACTGGTTGTGAAAAATTGCTTCTTTGCACTACTGTTAAACAGTAAAATTGCAGGGCTGCTTTTCAGAGACTGCAGCTCTTTGATGCAGCCTTGGGCACACCTAGAGGCTATCTTGAAGGCTCCCCCGACGGCGCTCTTCTTGGAAGCTCTTCTAAAGGCCCTCCTGGAGGCTCTCCTGGAGGCTTTTCTGAAGGCCCCCTGGAGGCTCTCCTGGAGGCTTTTCTGAAGGCCCTCCTGGAGGCTCTCCTGGCTGCTCTTCTGGAGGCTCTCCTGGATGCCCTCCTGGATGCAGCTTCTAGAGGCCCTCCTGGAGGCTGTCCCGGAGGCGCTGGCCGCACGCACCAGCGCACTGCTCTGCCAATATGTTCCCAGCAGCCGAGCCCGCCGCTGACAGCGGAACTCCCGCGAAAGGAATATAAAATACGTTATAGGCTGGTTTATTCCGCGCTAGCTGCTGCTCTTTCATATCCTCGTTTCACTAGGCCACGCGGGCGCGCGGTACAGAGAGAGAGAGAGAGAGAGAGAGAGAGAGAGAGAGAGAAGGGCTTTTCATTACTCATTTTTCATCCTTTTTGCGCGCGCGCCCTCCACTGTTTTATTGTCGTTTCGAATATGTATGTACGTTCACGTGTGTCCGTGTGTGTGTGTGTGTGTGTGTGTGTGTGTGTGCGTGTCTGTGAGGGCGCTGTGTTGTATCATTTTTACCGCCTGCTATAGTCCGGTGGTTTTTACTTTATTTTTCAAAATAACCCGCCCGGATGATCAATGATGTTCGGTTGTCCCCACGCCATTTAAACGCGCGCGCTGCTTCTCCTCTTCCCTTCCCACGGGGTATATAACCAACCGTGTGGGCTCCACCGATGGGTTGGATCCGCCCCCTCCCCCAGGCCCCAGGTCTGGGGTCGGAAGCCCTGGAAAATTTCCGAAAAAAATGGAAAATTATCGTTTGGGAAAATGTCTCCTTTTTTCCGGAAATTTCTCGTTTCTTTGGAAAAAAAATTGAAAATTTTTCGGAAATTTTACTGGGCCTCCAACCCTACCCAGGTTCACTCCGCCGCCTGCACCGCCACCGCCGTCACCTGACCATGGAGGGGGGGGG